GGGTGATAGTGAGGGTGCCGGCCCATTGGCACCATCACCGGGCCCCACTACCACGGGGCTGCTCAGCAAACAACCGCCTACCCTACCCCACATCCCACAACCTGCACCCCCCAAAAAACCCACACCACAACCACGGTACAATACCAGACCCCCCCAGAACCGCATCTGGTTTGGCGGACGGTGACGAGTTTTTTCCCAGTCCCCATGACTTTATGAAACACAAATGGAATAAAGCCATTTTGTCCATTGGGAAAAATCCAGGAATGGACTGTTTTGAGTTATTCTTCGATGAACCCCTGATGGACATATTGTCAGGGAAACCAACACATACGTGAATACACCAGGGCAAATACAATTCTTCACCAAAATCACGCTACACAAGGGGAAGGAACAACGGGGCAGAGATGTACCTGTTTTTTTTGCCACAATAATGTTATGCCACATGTGAAATAAGCACATGTCACCACATACTGGACAACAGATCGCCTGATTTCAACTCAGGTTAGTGACATTAAGGTCAATCGTTTCCTGATACTGTTGCTTTGTTAATTTTTCAGAAAAAACCAGGCCTGACAAAAGCGACGGGTTAAAAAAGAAAAGAAATGTGTTTAGTACTGAAACAAAAGTGCGCAGTATTTTTATCCCTTCGGGAAACTTGTTATTGTGATCCTTGTTTTATTCAAAGGAAGACCTCATTCAAAAATATATCCAAAAAAAGGGGAAACGCTTTGGTAAAAGCTATTTGTACTGTGTGATTGCAGAAGGGGCCCTTGTTTTAGATATTATTGTGTACACTGGCAGTAATACTTTGAGAGATACCATGAAGTTATTGGGTATCTCTGGTGAAGTGGTTCGAACAAGGGATGGAACCATATCTTGGTAAGGGGCATATGTTATTTACTGATAACTGGTACACAAGCCCCTTACTCAGTGATTTCTTGCGAGTGAACTTGACAGACGTGTGTGGCACAGTGCGTGGTAATCGCAAACATATGCCAAGGTTCGACGCTGGCACTCCAGAGGTTTAGGTGCAAGCCTTTGCTGCCAATGACATCATGGCATTTTGGTGGCATGACAAACGTGATGTCACATTGTTGACATCAGTTCACACAAACGAATGGTACCCAGTGGCAGGGACAACAGAGAGACCAATGAACCCCCTTCTAAAGCCCGCAGCTGTCATGGACTACAACCTCAATATGCGCTTAGTGGACAAATGTTTACATGCAGATTGGGTTTGCAGACTGTGTATGCAAGAGTTTAAAGTGGTATAAACAAACTTTTTTTCCATCTTGTTGATATCCTATGCTAAATGCTTATAACATATACAAGTTGAAGACCAACAAAACACCAAAATATGGTGAATTTTGCCTGTCAGTAATCAGACAAATAATTGCAAAGTACAAAGGAGCAACTCCTGCAATAGACCAGCGCCCACAGACGTCATCTCTATGAGGCCTGGTGATCACTACCCCATACAACTGCCCCCCTACTACTGCCAAGAAAAATGCTCAGAAGAGGTGTTATGTATGATGCAACCACAAAACGCCCACAAAAAACCAAGACACCGTTTTAGGGGGAGGGGGGTGAAGTCCCTCTGCATATCCCATGTTTCAAAGAGTTCCACAAGCTGCACGTTCTAGGAACGTGTTTTTGTGACTGTACATATGATATAATTATGGAACAATAGTAAAAAACATTGTTTTTTATTTTTGTTTGTGTAAAAAAAGTGTATACCAAACTAAAGTGTAAAGTTTGTTCTTTTTTGTGTTGTAAAAAAATGAGTGTATTTTAAATGCACCTTACATTTGGGCCACACCACAAAGTTACCTGGAAAAGAAAAAAATTGAAAATGCAAGAAACCTTTGAATTAGATAAATAAAAATACCGGGTGGGCGGCAGTCGCCGCTGTTGCCGTACGCACGTCAATTTCTGCAAACTTTGCGGCTCTATATCTCGGTAAGTACTGATGGCAAAAATTTTTTGTTAGGCTTAAAACACTAGTAAAAATATTCCTAACATTTTCATAAGAAAAAATAATTTTTTTTTTTTTTCGAATATTTGGCGACATAGAATGACAGTTTCAGAGAGGGCCCTGAAACAGTCAAAGGGTTAAAATCGGTAAATGGGTGGTTTCTTGTACTCATTCGATAGAAAAAATGGAGTTCTAGCAAAAGAGTTATGATTTTTGTCAACTAGTACACTGGAATTGGCCGAAAATAGGGTTCAAAGTGGCCAAAATCGCCGATGCCTAAACATCGTCGAGACCACTAACTTCGCGAGAGGATAATTCCGTAAGTTTTCCATCAAATTTCATACTTTTGGTGTCATTATGATCGGGAAAAGATTCTCTATCTTTTCATAGGAAAAAATAGTTTTTTTTTTTTTTGTTTTTTTTTTGTTTTTGAAATTTGGGCGACCCTGAGAACAAGTCTCTGAGAGGACCTGCCGACCCCCAAAGGGTTAACTTGTTTAACTCCAAAATTTTTCTTTACTTTCATTAAATTTCTTGACAGTACCTCTCCCACTCTATCATCCACTCTCCTTTTGCACTCCCTCACCACTCTCTTCACTTTTCTTTTACTCTCCATATACATACTCTGCTCTTCTTATAACACTTCTGCTTTGTAAATACCTCTCATAAGCTAAGTTCAACATGTACCATGTACTACTTTTATCCATTCGAGAATCTTGTAATTGACGAGTCTTTGATTTTGTTCAAAGGTAGACTGTCATTCAAACAGTACATACCAAGCAACAAGAAACGCTTTGGTATAAAACTGTTTGTACTCTGACTGTGACAGTGGCCTGGTATTGGATATTGTTGTATACACGGGAAGTAAAAATTTAAAGATACCAGATGTTACTGGGTATCTCAGGTGACGTAGTGAGAAGCATGATGGCACCTTATCTTGGTAAGGGGATTGCATTATATACTAATAACTGGTACACAAGCCCTTACTCAGTGATTTCTTGTGAGTGAACATGACATGTGTGTGTGTGGCACAGTGCATTCTAATAATAAACATATGCCCAGGTTCAACGCAGGCACTCGTGGTGATGAGGTGCATTATGGTGGCATGACAAACGAGATGTCACATTGTTGACAACCATTCACCGTAACGAAATGCAAGACAGTGTCAAAATTGATAGAGTGACTAATGAACATATTCAAAAACCAGTGACAGTGACTGATTATACACAAAACATGCACCTGGTTGACAAATGTGACATGCAGATTGGCTTTGTTGTGTTCGTAAGAGTTACAAGTGGTACATGAAACTTTTCTTCCATCTCATGGACATTTCAATGCTCAATGCATATATGTACCAAATGAAGACTGGCAACAGACCACCGTATAGTGAATTTTGTTTGTCTGTTGTCAGACAACTCATAATGAAGTATCAGGTAACAACACCTGCTATACAAAACCATCCTCGACCTCCTCAGGAAATACCCAAGCGTTTAAGGAGGGAAGGTAATCACTTCATAACACAGCTTCTTGCAACTAAGAAGAAATTTGCTCAGAAGAGATGCGTTTTCTGTGCACAAACAAAACGACAGCAACAAAGACGCAAAGACACTTGGTTTATGTGCGAGGAATGTAATGTACCTCTGTGCATGATACCTTGTTTCAAGGAGTTCCACAAGCTGCATCAGTTCTAAAAACATGTCCAGCGATTGCATATATGTAAATATACAATAGAACATTAGTATTATACAAGATTTGTGCATGTTTATTGTAATGAACGAAAGTGGTAAACAATTTTATAATAACTTGAGTGCAGTTTTTGTGTTCAATACAGTGAGTATATATATACATTATATACAGTATTGGTCTCACAGGCCACAAATGTTACTAGAAAAAAAAAAAATTAGAAAAAACAAAAAAGTATAAAAAATGTAAAATAAAGAAATGCGAGTTTGTGGAAATCACCGATGTTGCCGCCACCCGGTCAATTTGGGTCAACTTCTCCCTCTGTATCTCAGTAAGTACTGATCAGAAATTTTTTTTTTGTTTTATTACCTTCACAAAAATATACTCTAATTCTTTAAGATTTTTTTTTTTTTTTTTTTTTTTTTTTTTTTTTCAAAATTTCTTGGACACTGGGGCACCCCTTCCGATTTTGCCTTTGGACCCTGAAAGGGTTAATGTCACCTTTGCATTATTAATAACATTTTTATGTTAAAAATAGAACCAGGCATTAAAACAATAAGTAAAATACACATACAGTACACTCATTACTTACCTTAAAATATTTGTAGTTTTAACCCTTTGACTGTCGCAAGCCCCTTTCTGAAATGGTCATTCTATGTCGCAAAATTTTTGGAAAAAAACAAAAAATTATTTCTTCTTATGAAATGATAGAGAATCTTTTCCCGATGGTAATGACACCAAAAGTATGAAATTTGGTCAAAAACTCACAGAATTACACTCCCGCGAAGTTAGTGGTCTCAGTGACATACGCATCGGCGATTTCGCCGACTTTGAGCCTTGTTTTTGGCCAATTCCGTTGTTCCAGTTAACCAAACTCATGGATATTTCTTTAGAACCTCCTCACTGAAGTGCTTTTCAATTTTTGGTTATGAACTCCTTTTCCTGACTTTCTTTACCCTGTCATATGTTCATATGAATACATATTCAGACACTGATGTGCACTAACCACTGAGAAACTTCTAAAACTGGCCCAGTGACAATGTCCAGAGCCTTGCTGCTGGCTCTGACTGTATGTGTGCACACAAGATTCTGAATAGACCTTATTACCCCTAATTTGGGAGAAGTGTTTTCTAATTAAAAGTATTCCTCTGCTAAATCTTTTAGTCCTAGTTTGTCAACTACTCAATATATTCTTCCACTGCTAGTTCTTTTATGTGCAAAAGAAGCAAAATTGTCTCCATTCTAATTTTACATCCTGAACCTACAAAATGTAACCAACATCAACTTGTCTACTAATAATATCTAATCAAGCATTAACACAAAAAAAAATTTTATCCCTCACCTCATGAATATCCTGCCGCTTCAGAGGCTTCCTAGTGACGCTATTCAAGATACATGGAATGGCTTGTGCTGGCAGACGTTTTAACATACCAAGGTCAAGCTTTTTCACAAATTTTGCTGGTACTATTCCTTCATTTCCATGGTCAACATATTGTACCTGTTATGAAAAAAAAAACTATAAAAAATGTAGAGTAGACAGGTGTCTATTTCCAAAACTGTGGCTTGCCTAACAGGCTTCTTCAATATTTAGTCCCTAAACATTGATAAAAGTTTTTCAGTCCATAGGTGTTATGACCAAGGTCATAATGGGATTAATTTATATGTATTATCCACTTAATATTATACTCGGGGTTTCTTTAATATTAGCTAAATTAAAGATTCCACTAGTTTATAATATTATCTGATTTAGGAATATACCCAGGTTATGTGTGATGTATATATATATATATATATATATATATATATATATAATTTGTATAATGTTATAGGTAGGTATACACTGGCTAAGTTTATAAATAGTATATGTCATTGTGGTATATCGCACCGCTATCTATACTATAAACTCTCCCCGACTTGTTGAAGAAAAAATAAAAAAAAAAAGATTTTACTGTATATGGCAGTTCACTCATTATGCGATCAGTGTGCATTGACTGAGTACCCTGCCTAGGTTACTCAGCTTATTCTCATTGGATAGGAGTAAATTGCGTTATAAAACTCCTGAACCAGCTATGTGGTTTATTGTGATAGGAAGTCTGCGACGAACTTATATACTTAGTGTTATGCTTCAGGTTTATGTATGTGAACTGACCAGTTTTGTGCATCAGCTTAGAACTTTGTGATATATTCCTTATGCCAGGGAGTTACTCAGCGAAAGTGTTAATTCTCAATATATGTACTTACACACAAGTAATGTTACTATTGAGGAAGCAGTAATATTCCTCTGATCATTATCAAGTGTAGTGACCATATAGTCTCCAGAGGGGGTCTATGATGTACATTCTATTTAAGAGTTCTCTTGTGTGAATGAAAGTTTCTGACAGTGATATTTAATAGATATTTATGAATATCTAAAGTATTTAAACTTTTAAATAAAAAGAAACTAGAAAAGACTGAGTAACTATTATTTGTGCCTTACATTTCTAAGTTTGGAACCATATCCTCTCATTCTATGAAGTGTGTTGTTACGGAGTGCACTAACCTGGCTAAAGATTAAGATTCGAACCGTAACAATAGGACTAATCAATCTGAGGTGCACTCACATTTATGGAGCTACATATAATGGATGCTAGACAAATCATCCTGAAATTCAACCCTTCACATATGCAAGTACATGCCAATTTTTTTTTTAACATGTTGGCCATTTCCCACCGAGGCAGGGTGACCCAAAAAAAAAGAAAAACCCCAAAAGAAAAAACTTTCATCACCACTCATACATAATCACTGTCTTTGCAGAGGCACACAGATATGACAGCTTAAAAGTCCCTCCAAACTGCCTACATCTCAAACTCCTCCTCAAAAGTGCAGGCATTGTACTACCCATTTCCAGGACTCAAGTCCTGTTAACTGGTTTTCCTGAATCCCTTCTCAAAATATTACCCTGCTCACACTTCAACAGCTCGTCAGGTTCCAAAAACCATTCATCTCCATTCACTCCTATTAACACACTCACGCATGCTTGCTGCAAGTCCAAGCCCCTCGCCCACAAAACCTCCTTTACCCCCTCTCTCCAACCTTTTTGAGGATGACCCCTACCCCTCCTTCCTTCCTCTACAGATTTATATGCTCTCCACGTCATTCTACTTTGTTCCATTCTCCCTAAATGACCAAACCACCTCAACAACCCTTCTTCAGCCCTCTGAATAATACTTTTAGTAACTACACTTCTCTTAAATTTCCACACTACGAATTCTCTGCACAATATTTACACCACACATTGCCCTTAGACAGAACATCTCCACTTCCTCCAGCCACCTCCTCACTGCAGCATTTACAACCCATGCTTCACATCCACATAAGAGTGTTGGTACCACTATACTCTCGAACATTCCCTTCTTTGCCTCCATGGATAATCTGTCTACACAGATACCTCAATGCACCACTCACCTTTTTTCCTTCGTCAATTCTATGGTTAACCCCATCCTTCATAAACCCATCCACTAACAAGTCAACTCCCAAATATCTGAAAACATTCATTTTTTCTATACTCCCTCCCTCCAGTGTGATATTCAATTTTTCTCATCTAAATTGTTGATACCCTCATCACCTCACTCTTATCTATGATCACTTTCAACTTTCTACCTTTACACACCCAATAATTACACGATTACAAAATTTATAAAGTGGAACCTCAAATTTCGAACTTAATCCGTTTCAGGAGCTAGTTCTAAATTCAAAAAGTTTGAAAAGCGAAGCAATATTTCCCATATGAAATAATGGAAATACAATTAATCCATTCCAGACCCCCCCAAAAAAAAATACATTTTATAGAGATTAATTACAGTTTTACATACAACAAATATAGTGTACAATTATGCATTAATAAATTTAAATAAACATATTAAATAACATTTTCACTTACCTTTATGGAAGACTGGTGATGGCATCTGGAAGATAGGGAGGAGGAGAGGGGGAGTTGGGGTTAGTGTTTAGAAGGGGAATCCCCCTCCATAAGGACTTAGGCATCAAGGCCCTCTCTGGGGTTACTTCCCTTCTCTGTCTTTTAATGCCACTAGGACCTGCTTGAGAGTCACTGGACCCCTGTCTCACAAAATAACTGTCCACAGTCCTCTGTGTCTGGTACCTCTAAGATTTCCCTAAAATGGGACATGGTTTTGTGACTGAACTTGTTGCAAAGATGGTTTGTTTCAGCTTGCTCAGGGTGGTACTTCTGCACAAACAATTGGACATCATTCCACTTGGCACAAATCTCCTTAATCTTTGAAGAAGGCACCTCATCCACCCCCTCTTCCTCCTCCTCTGAAGGAAGTTCCTCAGCTGTGGTCTGATACTGTTCCAGATGAAGGTCTTCCAGCTCTTCAGTGGTTAGCTCTTCCCTGTGGTCCTCCACCAACTCTTCCACATCCTTGCCACTCACCTCCAGCCCCAAGGTGTTCCCCAGTGCCACAATAGAATCCACAACAGGCAGAGGGTCAGCCTCAAACCCTTCAAAATCCCTCTTTTGGACACAATCTGGCCACAATTGTCTCCAAGCAGAGTTCTAAGTCCTGGAAGTCACTCCCTCCCAAACCTTACCTATAAGGCTTATGTAGTTGTAGATACTGAAGTGATTCCTCCAGAACTCTTAGGGTCAACTTAATGTCTGTGGTCACTTCAAAGCACTTTTCAAACACTGCTTTTGCGAAGAGTTTTCTGAAGTTGGAAATGACCTGCTGTTGCATGGGCTGGAGCAGAGAAGGGGTGTTAGGAGGCAAGAACTTCACTGTTATAAAACTGAAGTCCCTAGATATGAGGTCTACTAAGTTTGGAGGATGAGCAGGAGCATTGCTCATTAACAGGAGTCACTTGAGTGGCAAATTATTGTCTAGGAGGTATTTTCTCACATATTTGCTTTCCACAACACACACAACTTGTTCTTTATGACATTGTTTTTCTTAAACACACTGGGATTTTCTGAATGATACATAAGTATAATTTTTCAGTGTCTACATAAGCCTTGAACTCCTGTACAAACTTCTCAGCTGCCCGTTTGTCTGAACTGGCTGCCTCACCATGCCTTACAACATTGTGTATGCCACCACACTTCTTAAATCTGTCAAACTAGCCTCTGCTGGCCTTAAATTCACTATCAGCACTGGTTCCAGGAGTTTTCTGTACCAGATTGGCATGCAACTTCCTTGCCTTTTCACAAATACTCTCTCTGAAACACTATCACCTGCCATCTCTATCCTTGATCCACACCAGCAACAACTTCTCAACCTGATCGATTGTCTGATCTTTTTTTGGTTAGCATATTAACACCTTTCACAACATCAGCTTCCTTGATTTGTTCTTTCTTTGCTAGGATAGAAGCAATGGTCAATTTGTTCTTTCCATGAATCCTGGCAAGCTCAACAAGTTTCACACCACTCTCATACTTCTGTATTATTTCCTTCTTCACATCTATGGTGTTTCTCACTTTCTTTACCACAGGGGTACCACTAGCAAGTTTCTTTGGGCCCATGGTAGTTTATTTCACAGTCCCATAAGCACTAAACACAATGAATTAATCGTAAAATGTTTGAATGAGAGCGCAGGTTAGTGTTCACTCAAGCATCAACAAAGCCAAACTGGCTCAAGGCGCCTGCGCGGGGACGCGGACAGTGTGGGCTGGCAGACAGGTCTGGTACCCAGTGGTTCGAAAATAGGGGCGAGTTCGATAATAGGGACAAAGTTGGTTCGAAAAATGTGGTCTATTTTTGAAGAGTTCGATAAGTGACATTCGAAATTTGAGGTTCCACTGTATTATACAGGCATGTACAAATATGCATGCACACCGGCTTCCCCACAGATGACCAACAGACATTTGGACGAACAGACATTTCACCTACGGGCATTTGGCAAAACAAACATTTTTACCAATGGACATTTGGCCAAATGTACATTTCACCAAATGTCGGGTATCTGGCCAAATGGACGTATAGTCTTTTAAATTTTATTTTTATTTCTTCTATGTAACTGCTTTATAAAACTATAAAAACAATAAAAGAATAGCATCATTGTGTGATAAAAAAAAAATCTTTATTACACATGTACTAAAGTATACCTGGAGTTTACACACATTAAAGAAATTGGTAAAAAAATTGCACTATAAAATTCAGTGTTCTTAAATATTTAAAGATTATGGGCAATATTGCAACCCCTGAATGCGTCACAAGGCATGTACATGTATATACAATAAGGCCCCACTTTACGGCGTTTCGCCTTACGGCATTCCGCTAATGCGCAATGTCAAATTATGACCAAAATTTGCTATACGGCAAGCGGTCTTTCAAATACGGCGCTCTCCACCCGGTTTGTTTACATTTCCTGTGACCACATCTATTACGTCAGGAAACTTTCCAAAATTTCATGTGTTTTAAAGTTACTGAATATTTTATACGTACTCTGATAATTATACAGTGGACCCCGGTTCATGTTATTAATCCGTTCCTGAGAGCT